TTTGGATGATCTCTTCGCTAATATTATTTTGTTTGGTTTCTTGTAAATAGTTTTTCATATAGTAAATACACATTAGGGTTAGATTTTTAAAACAGAAAATGAATTGTTCAAATAGGAACTAGTTCATTTTTTCATAGAGACAATGAGGTATTATGGTGGATGTATTAAGAATGGTAAGTAAGAATGCGCTGTTTTGGTGCAATGAATGTTGTGGTTTGCTTGGATCAGTGATTGTGGCTAGCTAAGTTTAATTATTAAACAGAAGAAAACCAGCCTTTTTCCCCATTCCCCATTTTGACCTTGTGTCACATTTTGTATCATTATACAAATAAATGATGCTCTTCACTATGGTACGTAGACTCTGAATTTAAGCGCAGTACTAAATTAGCTACAAGGTCTCACCAATTTACAGTTGAGCTGACTAGATGTCACCGTAAATTCCTTGCGAACAGTTTCTTTTCTCGCACTTCTCGCTTGTAGACCTTCCTTCCGTCTCCATGTTTTCCAGTCAACTTTAATCTGCAAAAAATTAAATGCAATATCAATCTCTATCTGCTATCCTCGTGTGTCTGTTTCTAACTTTTCCACACTCAGTAACCTCTTGTGGTTTTACCTCCTTGCAGATGAACTCGATTTTTTTTTAAAAGTCGTTAATACGAGAATATGGCGGATTGATTAATCCTAGACTTTATGAGTCTATAGCTTAGTGTCTGGGGAAGTATACACACAGAAGTCAATTCCACAAAGTCAGAGTGACATGCTTTTTTGTTTAACAAAGAAAAGGGTGGGAAATTAGGGTGATTCAAGTTCTGTGGACGTGGCAAGACGGTAGATGATAGCACTAAGGAATGGAACTTGTCAGAATATTCGACATAGAAGCGATTAGGTTTTTGATAAATAATTTTATATACCCAGCATATAAACTATAAAGCATTCTTGTAGGTTCGTTTTTGTCCTTTTACCTTTAAATGGAAAATGTACGAAAGCTGTCAAAAACTTAAGAAATTTCAATCTATTAATTCTGCTTTTAATATTCACAAAACATTCTACTGTTTAATATGTATTTGAAATATCAATTCGTTTTATATTTTTATCAGGAAACATTCAAACCTATCAGTAATGGGAATGTCTGCGCCTATGTCTGCGTCAGAGTTATTCTTAAGACAACTTATCGTCAGTAATCGAGATAGCAAAAATAACCTTGCAGAAACAAATCAGTCAGAATTAAATTATGTTTCCCTGTGAACCCAGCGAGATATAAAATTAAGAAAATGCGCGCTTGCGGCGTCATCGTAATTCTTTTATAATCTCTCTATATAATACGTATATATTTGTCTGTTATGGCTGTAAACATTTAATGTCGCAAGTGAAAAGGAGATAACAAGATATATCTTCCTTGCACATGGGGCGCCAAGTGATGCAGTATATTTTTATTACATTGGCGGAGTCTCCCAACATGTTTACTTAACTGAAAAGCAAAAAGTCCGACTCCGTGAAAGAGCATAGTATAACAATAATAATTAGAACAATACTTTTAAAGGTTCACTTGTATTGTCTGAACAAAATAAGCCATCATTTTTGGTAGCTTGGTACTGCTATATGATTCTATTGGGCATAAAATCGGGGAACAGTCCTCTGATGTTTTTTTTTTAGTAATAAACTGATACACATGGTTTTATGGTATTGTGGATGTTATGGCTATTAGTGCTGGGTTGATTCTTTCACCTAAACATCCAAAAACTTGTTGAATGCCTTCGTCGCTGAAATAAATTGACAAAGAAAAGACGGAAGGATACAGAGACACTAGAGGGACAGTTTAGGACACTGATTTTATTTCCTTCTTCTGGATTCCAATGATCTCTTGTTGGGGAATCTCTTCCCAAACAGTCGGCACGTGTTCACCAGTCAAAGGTCCAACCGAGAAAGAGATAGATTCTTCTAGTTTATCTTTGGCACCAGGAAATCTCTCTTTTTTTTTTTTTTTGCACATGCGTAAATTGCCTTTCCTGTCAGAGGACTCCTGGGAGATTTTAATGTTTATTTTATTTTGTACTTTTATTTAATTTTGTATTTTTATTTTATTTTGTATTTTTTATTTTATTTTGTATTTTTATTTTATTCCCACAGTATATAAATATACAGGGGTTGGACAAAATAATTTGAATACTAGTTAAATTCAAAGAAAATTTATTTAATATGGAGTTGCTTCTCCTTTAGCCTTACAGACAGCTTTAATACACATAGGAATGGAATTATACAGGTTCCTGACTTCATCCAGGGGAATTTTCAGTCATTCTTCCATTAAAACCTTCTCCAGCTCTTTACAACACGACGGTGGAGGATAGCGGCTCCTAACTTGTTGCTCCAAAATGCACCACAAATGTTCAATAATATTGATATCTGGAGATTGGGGAGGCCACTCCATGTGTTCTAACTCACTTTCAGGCTCTTCATACCAATTCTTAACCACTCAAGAGGGAAGTATTGTGGCATTATCGTCTTGGAAGATGCAGTCACCATCAGGGAATAACGTCTTGGCCATTGAATGAACATGATCTCCCAAAATGTTCAGGTAATCTTTGCAGTTGATTCTACCATGCAAGACAACTATTGGACTGAGACATTTCCATGATATGGCGGTCCAAACTATCACTGATCCACCTCCATGCTTCACTGTTGGAAGAAGGCAGTCAGGGTTGTAAGCTTCTTTGGGCTGCCTCCATGCATAAACTCGTCCTGAAGTTGAGAAAAGAAAAACAACTTGTTTGAGAATATGACTTGCTTCCATTGGTCTGCAGACCAGGCATTGTGATCTCTGCACCACTTCAACCTCTTTGGAATATTGCGAGTGGAGAGAAGAGGTTTCCTCACAGCGGCTCTTCCATGATATGCAGCCTTATGGAGCTCACGGTGAACAGTTTTAGTAGAAACTGAACTATTCAGATGGTTATTCAACTCAGCAGTCACTTTGGCCGCATTATCCGATGATTTTTTGCCACATTGCGTTTCAATGCACGTCAGACCCTGTCAGTAAGTTTGCAAGTCCGGCCCGAATTGCTACGATTGCTAGAGGTCTTGCCCTGTTTCTCGAATTGCATCAGTGTTCTTGATATGGTAGCTCTTGAAAAACCAAACAGTTCAGCAACCTTAGTGATCGAGCCTCCTGCCATGCGAGCTCCAACAATTTGCTCTTTTTCGAACTCGGTGAGGTCATGCATTTAGCTTAAATTTTACTAAATTCTTAAAATAAATAAGACAAAGACAGTAAATTAGATAAATAAATGTATTTACAATAGATATAACCTGAAATGACAAAGTTTTTGTAAAAGTTCTTAATATAATAGGTCTTTGAAATATAGGAGTGGATTTTGCAACTGTTCCAATTATTTTGTCCAACCCCTGTATACTAACTGGAAGACTCCGTTATATAAATATATAATAATTTAAAAACTCTCATGTTAACAGCTTCTAACAATAGTATGAACCTGTGGACTTTATGAAACATTTTACCGAAAGGCAAAATCTCCTCTGGTCTACGGGGGAATTTTTGCCCGAGCCTAAGAGTTCGAAAAAACCCACGATTAACCGGTCTTGTGCCACTTCCGGCTCTGTGGAGAGCTCTAGTTAAAACCGAGTTAGCATTAGGCCTTAGCCGTGGGCTAAGCTCTTAGTTCTTGTCGAACTATCTACCTTCGGGCAGAGAGAAACCCAAACGAGGCTATGTCTTGTCTGGGGAGCTAGACAAATCCGACCCCTTTATTGCGAGGTCTACGGGGAATTTTTGCCGAACCATCGAGCTCCAAACGCCTCACGTTAAAAACCCGACCATGTGCGATATAGCGCCTTATTGGGTGGACTTTTGTAAATACCATGTTTTAGCCGCGCGCTAAACTCTTAGCGCTTGTCGAACATACTGCCTTCGGGTAGAGAAGAATCCAGACGAGGCTATACCGAAGTGCAGAATCTCGTCTGGATAAACCGGACCCCGTTATTAAGGGGTCTACGGGGAATTTTTACCCGGGCCAACAGTCTCGGAAAAAAAAACCCACGTTAAACCGGCCTTCTGCCACTTCCGGCTCTGTAGAGTGCTTGGGTAAATACCGAGTTAGAATTAGGCCTTAGCCGCGCGCTAAGCTCTTAGTGCTTGTCGAACTCTGACTTCGGATGGCGAGGAACCCAGACGAAGCTATGCCGAAGGGCAGAGTCTCGTCTGGGGAGGTAAACAAACCCAATCTCGTTATAATGCGGTCTACGGTGAATTTTTCCCGAGCCTACGTGCTCGGAACGCCTCACATAAAAAAAAACGGTACTGTGTCACATCCCGCATTGTGGGGAGGTCTCGAATAAATACCGAGTTAGTATTAGGTCAATTACTAAGTGTACCTTCGTGTAGTAAACCTACTATTTCATTACTTACCTACGAGTTTATCTTCCTTATTTATTTCCCTCTTTTATCTTGAAAACACGAAATACAACACAATTTTTTACATTCAGAATAAACATGTTTTTAAATATATAGTTTGTAGATGATAAAATGTATTGTTGGTGATTTTACTATAAAATGTATTTTTGTACTTTTTAGTGTTGTATTGATTGTCATTTTGCTATAAAAATGTATTATTGCTCATTTGGCTTCATAAAATGTATTGTTGGTAATTCGGCTATAAAATGTATTGTGGGTCATTTTACTAGAAAAATGTAATGTTGGTAATATTTTTATAATTGCTGGTAATTTCAATGCAAAAATACATTGTTAGTATTTTTTAAAAATATATTGCTGGTAATTTTACTATAAAAATATATTTTTATACTTTCCTAGTGTTTTGAATTTTTCCTTGGAGATTTACTGTTTGCACGTAGCTGGGAACAACAGCAATTAAGATGTGGCTCCACGCTCCTCAAAACCTCCAGTCTCCTGATCAGGGGCCTTGCTGCTGGATGTCGATATGAATTTATGTCTTTCGTTAGAGCAAATGTAAAATGAAACAGAGTATGACCGAATGTGCACGCAATTTTCTTACTTGACTGTCTCCCTGATAACCGCTGCGGTTCCTGCATATCAGTGGGCTACGGGCAAGATATTCGAGTAATCCGTAAGCTCTACTGGGAACAAATAGCCTGCATGCTGATAGAGGAGGACTTCAGTGAATATGTAAAAGTAAAAAGAGGAGTAAAGCAAGTATATGTTTTTTATTTGGATTTATTTAACATACACAAAATACTTCAGATACCCTGGTGTATGGATCAGTTGTAAAAAAATATGTTACAGAATATAGGGAAATGGAAGCCAGAATAGGCTGCGCTGGGGTTAGTTTTGTCCCTCAACGCAAGACGCAACTAAACCAAAACATTAGCCTAAGAATTCGATTCATATCTAGTCTCTCATGCGGATGCCATGCATAGCATCCAACTCGTTCTGAAATGTCAACCGTTTTCTCAGATCAATGCTTAAATATAGGTTCAAGAAAATGAATCTGTGGTTTTTTAAATGGATTTTGATTGATTCGTTGATCCGTTTCTACGGCTTATCAATTCTTTTCAGGTTATTTAACGCAAGAAAATATTTTTAGATTATAAGAATGTTTTGAAGATATTAATGATTTTATGATACAAGTATTACTAATTAACCCATAGCCGAGGGGAGAAGAGTGGGATCCATATCTTTCCCAAGGGCATTTGCGCGTTAGCGAATATAACGAACCCATCTGGAATTGGAACTCAGCTTCCTGATTAACTAATTCTGAGCCATTATCAATTACACTACCCGCACATCCAAGCTTACATCACCTGGTATTCCCGAGCGGTCAACAATATTGGATCAGACCAGGCTCAAAGTTGCTTACCTTCAGTCACCGTACGAGAAACGATGTTTAAATTTCATATGTTATTTATCTTAAAAAAGCTCTTAGTTCTTGTCGAACTATCTACCTTCGGGCAGAGAGAAACCCAAACGAGGCTATGTCTCGTATGGGGAGCTAGACAAATCCGACTCCTTTATTACGAGGTCTACGGGGAATTTTTGCCGAACCATCGAGCTCCAAACGCCTCACGTTAAAAAACCGACCTTGTGCGATATAGCGCCTTATTGGGTGGACTTTTGTAAATACCATGTTTTAGCCGCGCGCTAAACTCTTAGCGCTTGTCGAACATACTGCCTTCGGGTAGAGAAGAACCCAGACGAGGCTATACCGAAGGGCAGAATCTCGTCTGGATAAACCGGACCCTGTTATTAAGGGGTCTACGGGGAATAAATTTTTCTCGTTCAAGATTACAGAACATGGTATTCTAAAGCGGTCACCCATCTAGTTACTGACCAGGCACGAAGTTCCTTAACATTGGTGATTGTACGGGAACCGGTTACAGAAAGATGATGATCCGAAAATAGAAATCTCGGAAATGATTCTTACAATCTATCAATATTGTTTTGGCTTTAAATAACCTAAAGATGGTTGATAAGCAGTAAAAAACGAATCAGTGAAAAATTGATCCGGTCCTGTTATATCTGGTGTCATTAAATATTGTAAATATTGTCTGCTGGGCAGATAATTCGGGTGGGGTCTCTAGAATGTCTATTCATAACTACCCTCTGTTTCCTTCTGGTTAGTTCTCTCATTTTACTCGGATCGGATAGACAGTTTATATCTTTTTAGTTGGCTTTCGATAGAGATCATTCCATTTTCTGATGTTTAACGTACCGTATATGCCGGCGTACAAGGCGACCTTTTAACCTCAACCAACACCCACCCGTCCCAAAATATAGGTGGTCGTCTTATACTCCAGGTATAAAAATATGAAACTTAAATCGTGTGGCAAGTCATTAGAATGAGAGATTATTGACGGTAAGCTAACTCCTGCCATGGTAACTATCAGCACAAATATTTTCTGCTGAAACAACTTAATTCACATTAATATAATAAAACAATAAGTGTCGTGTAATAAAAATAGTCTCCCTTATAGTTATTTTCCAAGCATAGTTTAGATGTTATAAAAGGTCGAAAGTATGGGGCACCCCGTGATGATCGAATTCACTACTCAGTCGTAATTGTTCTAGCGAGACAAGCATGCTAACCATTACACCGCCACGAGGTGCCCAAGCACACATGGCAACTCCTCTAACAAGATTTTTTACCTGTTGCCCGGTCTACATGAATTTAAGCGTGCTACTAGATTGGCATCTAGCTCTCACCCATTTATTGCTGAAATAGCTAAATGCAACCGCCACTTCTACTCCAATAGCTTCTTTTCCTGCACTTCCCACCGGTGAAACTCTCTTCCGATTACTTGATTTCCTGATAACTACAAATCGCCATCTTCTGTCTTCTTGAACCCTGTTTATTTTTTCGTCCTTTCTTCAATCCACCCTATACACAGTCTTTTCATTTTCTCTCACGTTCACTCCCCGTAATCCCCTCCATACTAATGGCTTTACAGTCTTGCTTGGGATGAAATGATTAAAAAAGAAAAGGGTTGTTTTGCGTATGCGTATAGTTTTTTTTCTTTTTTTCTTTAGTTAAGGGCTTGTGAAACGGGATTATTTCAGTTATTTTAACCAAGCCTTGAGGGGATGTAAAATCATTTTTTATGGTTTCCCCAGTCCACATTTCCTTGTGTTCGTATTCATTAATGAGTCTGAATGCGTTTGTGATATTGTCTGTGTTTGTGTGAGTAAATCTAGTACACTTTGGCTTTTTTTTCTTGTACCATTGTCATTTGCCGTCACTGATTTTGGCCATTCTAATTGCTATTTTGACAGGTACATTGCCATTCGTCATCCCCTGAAGGCGAAGTACATATGTACGCTGGTACATGCCCGTGTTGTCATACTGAGCGTGTGGTTGCTGTCTTTCATTTGCTCCATTCCAATTTTATTTGGACAAGTAAGTTTTATAATCCGTCTTTTTACCATAAAAAAAGAAATTTATTTCAGAGACCCCATACACAAAGCCTGATTTTAACCGAAATTTTTCTCGTTCCCCTAACCGTTTTTACACCCCGTTCTTCTTGTTTTATCGTCACAGCACACCGGCCTCTCATCAGCATAAATCGTAAAATATAAGTATTTTTATTTTTCATCTCGTTACCTGTTGGGTCTTAGGGACACCATGCATACAGCAGCCACAGTAAAAGTGGGGTTTCTTGGGCAAGACAGCCTGACGGAGCCTAATTCTCTCCAGTTTTGAATTCAGAGTTTTTCCTTCTCCTAGATCGGTTGCCACAAAAGGTTTCCAGGATGAGGACACCTGGCACAGTGGATAAAGGCGTTATTTAGATCCAGTGACAGGACCCAAAGAATGTGAGTTCAATACCTGGTTAAGGCGATGGAGAACTCTGAGAGAGGAATTAAGAGGAGATAGCTGATAACTGACATCCATTAGACATGGCACGTGAAACTAGAACAGTCTACCCCAGCGAGCGAAATAAAAGGTTCAGTTCGATATCCCAACCACCTGAAGAAGGCCTAAGCGTACAACGGCCGAAACGCAGTGATAGATATGGCGACAAAGATGAGGACAATAGTCCGAATAATGTAAATAGTGGAAAGAAAAGTATGATAAACTGCTGCATAATTTGGGTCTCTCCAATATGGCAATGAATGGTAGAAAACTTGCAGCAACAGAGATAAGGCTCTCCACAAGGATACTGAGAATAACATGGACGGAATATGTAAGCAACGAGGAAGATTTGATGAAATTGGAAACAAAAAGGACACGTATAGTTAGAAACAGAAAGAGACAGCTGAAAATGCTTCGGCACATAAAGAGGATGGAAGGCTTGGTAAATTTGCCACTCATAGGACAGATTGAAGTAAGAAGGACAGAGAAACAGCGAGTAACCTATTTAACGAGATTGTGCAAATGGGTGGCAGAACAGAGAGAGAAGGATAGCAAAAATGATAAATATTGTGAAGGGCTACAAATGATAGGAAGTTGTGGAGAGCCGTGATCGCCCACATCCTCAAGCGATATGGTACAAAGAAGAACAGGCTTGTATTCGATTAGTGTGTTCATTCTATAGAAATATGTTTGTTTGATTCGTTTTTTACGCCTTATCAACCCTTTGCAGGCTATTTAAAACCCGAAAATATTTTTAGATTGTAAGAATTTTTATATGATAATGCTTTAGTGATACAAGTTTTACTAATTAACCCATAGCTGAGGGGGAGAAGATATAGATTCATGTTTTTTCCTAAAATGCATTTGCGCCTAAGTGAATATAATGAACCCAACGGGAATTGGAAATCGACTCTACAAATCACAATTCCGAGCCATTATCCCTTACACAACCCTCATGTTCAAGATTAGAGAACATGGTATTCTAAAGCGGTCACCCATCTAGTTACTGACCAGGCACGAAGTTCCTTAACATTGGTGATCGTACGGGAACCGGTTACAGAAAGATGATGATCCGAAAATAGAAATTAATGGGTTTCTTTATGGTGGGTAAATGAAAGCAGTTTCGATTTAGAAGCATTATAGTTTACAGGCTATTTCCAGCCCCACTCAACATTATTTTTGGAAAGTCGATTTTGTATAATTTCTCATATAAAACGATATAATCTTACTTTTCAGTCTCTGACTGTGGAATTTCTCTGTCTTTCAATCATTTTCTCCAGCTGTGGTTCTAAAAAGCTGTTATAGCTTCTCTTAAGATACAATACGCTCTCATCGACATTTTGACAGAATAACATTCTAAACAATCCTTGTTTATTTTAGATATACATTTCTTTTCGCGGGAGTATTTCGTGTTTCCACATTATAGCGCAAATCCAATTAGAATTTTCTCTGCAGACTGAACGACCTGTACCTGGCAGTATTGGGTTGTGTCTTTCTAATGGCAATGGAATTGGATGGCACCTTATTAACAAAGACTTCATTCGGTGCCTGACCAAACCAGATGCAACTTTTAATAGTTGCCTATTTATTTGAATAGAGCCATGGCTCAAACCCCAGCTTCAAGTGTTTTACTTTTAGTTTCAGATTGAAATTCCACCTAAAACAGATATCTGCCAATCTCGAGAAATTATGGAATCTAGTGATTTGGACACCTAATCCCTGCTGCAGACTCCTAATCAGGCACATGAGGCTTACGAAATACTGGTTCTCGTACGATCAGAAATGTTAGGCAGAATCGAGTTTTGTTTAAAAACCAACAAAAATGTTAGGCAGAATCGAGTTTTGTTTAAAAACCAACAAAAATGTTAGGCAGAATCGAGTTTTGTTTAAAAACCAACAAAAATTCTTTGCTGAGTTTTTTTTTTTAATTTACTTTTTCATGTTTAATTTTTTTTCTGTTTTTATTTTTTCTCCCCTATATTTCTGTATATTTTGAAAAAAAAAAAATTACCCCAAGCAAGACGGGAATGTTACTAGTACGCAGAGGATTACAGGAAGTGAAAATGAAAGAGAAGATTGAGTTTAGGGATTATTGAGGAAAGAACAAAAGATGAACAGGATTCAAGAAGATTGAAGATGGCGATTGATGTTACATTTATATTTTTGATGTTTGTAGCTATCAAGGAAGCAAGTAAACGGAAGGAGGTTCCACAGGCTGGAAGTGCGAGAGAAGAAACTGTTGGAGTAGCAGTGGCTGTTGCATTTAGTTATTTCAACAGTAAAACAGAGGGATCAATATATCAATCTAGTAGAACGATTTAAATTCATGTAATCGGGATACCAGAAAAAAAACTCGTCAGAGCAGTTGCCATGAAAATATTTGTCGAAAAGACGGAGAGAAGCCATGTCACGTCGGTAAGAAAGTGACTGAAGTCGAAATGCCTGGTCAGGATCAATTATATTACAGAGCCTACTTTGGTTTTTGTCAAGGATCTCAAGATGTACAGCAGTCGCACAACAGTATTCAATGCACAGACGAATTATAGATTTATAGATACTGATTAAGACGAGAAAAGTTTTCTGGCACGACACAGTAACCCAACTTTCCTTGCAGTAGATGCAGCTACTGATTTGATATAGTCGCTCGACTTCATGTCAGGGGAAAACGTGAAGCTAAGAAGTGTTGCTCTCCTGGAGTTTAGCATCAGCCATGTTGATAGCAGACAGAAAAGATTATCTGTGGTGATTAAATGAAAACAGTTTGATTTTTGGAGGCATTCAAAATTTACAAGCCATTTTCTGGCCCAGTTAACCTCTGATTGGAGGTCATTTTATTCTCTTCAGAGATTTTTTTTTTTAGTTTCTGGTGAAAATTTGAATATAAATTGACCAATGCCTGAGTGTTTTCAGCTATCATAAGATATCAAAGATGTTTTATTATTTTTTATTTTTTTTTTTTTTTTTATATTTGTGCTGAGTTTCATCTGTTTTCACTTGGTTTACGGCCCTATCCCATTGAAACAGGGGTTCACCGAAGCCTGGAAATACCAGGTGCTCTGAGCTTGGATATACGGGCGTGTAATGGATAAAGGCTCGGAATTGGTCGGACAGACGAATACCAGTTCTAGTCGAACGCAAACATTTCCTCCTAGCTATGGGTTAATTAGTAAGACTAATATCAGTAAATGATTATTATCGACAAAAAATTATTACACTCTAGAAATATTTTCTTGCTTTAAATGACCTGCGAAAGATTGATAAGCCGTAAAAAAACAAATCAACCATCAATAATGAACACCGACAGATCCAACTTGCGGTTTATATTGCAGCTACTCTGAGCGAACCTTAGTTACAATCTGTGGGAGAGAACGTATAATCTAGCTTAATCACAAGTTCAAAAAGGCCAGTACTTTCAAACCCTCGGTCATAATGACTTATGACTTTATGCTATCACAACTATCGATAGATTTCGAACTATTTCGTCTACTGAAATCCACCTATATGCTTTACTATCATCCTTAGTCAGAAAGATTAAATTAGATGTATTAATTTAATGCCTATCACTTGCCTACATTAAACGGTTTTCAATCGTGAAGGCTCAAATAATTAATATCTGGTTAAGGGTGATATTTAAAAAAAAAATGAATATCTGTCATCTTTATCGTGTTATATGTCTATATCCCTGAGATGAGGTATTATGATTACTTACATTATTTACATTATTCGGACTGTTGTACTCACTTTCATTGCCATATTCAGGACGTTTCGGCCGATGTACGTTCTGGTTTTCTTCAGGTGATTAGAATTTCGAAATTAACCCTTTATTTTGTCCACCGGGATAAAGTGTTCTAGTTCCACGTATCATGTCTTTTCAGTACCAGGCTACAGCAGTGGTGCACCAAAAATTGGAGAGTTGAGTTAAAGGGAAATAACTTAGACATTCGGGAGAGGGGGGAGTTTGTTCCATAGGGAAGAGGTTCGCGAGAAAAAGCTGTTTGAGTGGAACTTACTTCTCGCCGATAGAATACAGAGGAAATGTAGGTGATTTGCTATTATGTAAGTGGCATGGCGGCTCCTAACCTTGAAATTCAGACTGGTAGAATAAGGTTCGTCTGAGCAATTTCCCTGGTAGTAGCGAGAGAGCAGTGAAAGAGTCTTCATATCCCGACTGCGAGAGAGAGGTTGGAGTGTGGAAAATAATTCTTCCCTAACAAGGACTCAGAGACGCTTCTGAACTCTTTCAAGACCGGAAAATGATATCTGGGCAGCTCCTGTCCAAATATGGCAACAGTACCCCATTTTCGGCCTGATCTTGCTCTTATAAAGGTAGAGGATAGCATAAGGAGTCAGGTACTTACTGGAGTGGTACAGGGAGACGGCCATTTTTACCTGCATCTTTAGCGATATATCGTATATCGCAATTCCACTTCTGGTCAGTGCGATTTTGAGGCCCAATATCCTATCAGAGCACGCTGATAAAATGTAAGCACTTTGGCTTTAGATGCATTGAACATAACCAACCAGTTCCCCCCCCCCCACTGGGA